GTAATGATAAAGTACAATATTATGCTAAAAAAAAATAGGTTTACAAATGCTTGTGCTTATAAAGTAGTAACTTAGTGTGAAATGTTTAATATAACAACTCTAGATGAAATATATAGGTGAACAGATTTGGCTCACTATTTGGCAAGAAACTAGTCAGTTTTGTCTCTTTGTCAACCTTAATTAATACATAATAAGCAGTTATTAATGGTTTATAAAGTGTTTATAGAGGACTTAATAACGTATCTAAAAACATATTAACCATCTATAAGGGGAGCCTAATTGTAAAGTGGTGCTGAACTTTGCAAGAGACGGGTTTAAAATACATTGTATTCTGTAAGTGTGGAGCTTTTATCATGTTGCAAATAGCTAGAAAAGAAAATATAATAAAGTACAAGATTCTGAAATAGCCAGGAGCACCCACAACCTAAATAATGTGAGTTTATCAAAATCAATATTTAAAGAGTACTTTTATAAAATGGACTATTTGGGTTTAAGACAAGGTTTTGTCTTTACTGTACAGGCTTTTCCAGTCATGTTTTTAAAACTAATTTACTTTCACACGTCCATCCCAATGTGAAAGTGTGGAGTTTATTGTGAATCCATCACTTCCATTCAGGTTTTACTCCAAAACATCCACTTCTCTCTTGGTGTGGTTGTTTTGCCAGCCGCTCAATCAAAAGAGCAGGCAGCAGCATCCTGCCCAGCGTGCCCCTGAGGGCTGTCAAACAGCCCAGAGACAACACCGCTGTCACTCTGTTTGTCTGACCTTTCACCTGGCGGGAGGAAACAGGACGCCGGTGCTCCAGAGTGTTTGTGAAGATAACCCAAATCCCACCTATTCTCCAAGCTCGAGTGTCAGAAAAGACTCAAAACGCTCCAAAAAAATAAAATTCCAGCCCAGGTGCAGCAATGTCAACAAGCTTTTTGTATGCGTTTCTGCTTTGTGGTGGTTTTGGACCACCATCAACCACATTGTGTTTAAATACTGCCACAGTTTGCTAATCACTTTTTTTTTTTAGTTGATTTTGTTTATTTGCATCAGCAGGATTTACAAGTTGGAGATGCAGAACATGCAACAACAATTAGATACAAAACATGAATACGAATTTAAAATTAGGCACAATGAATACAGTTCTTTTTTTAATAGAAATGACCTGAAGCGGAAAAGCTAATGCTGGAAACCATCATGTCCCAGTCCAATGAATAAAACATGAAGCATTTAATCAGATCTAAAAGTGCAGTAAAGTGTACAATTCCTTCTGCAGTGATTGAAAAGCCTTTTCACGAGTAAGGATAGTCTGATTTGATGAGAGATAACTACGCAGGCTCTTATTGTGAAAAACAATCAAAAAGCATCTATTTATTAAAGATGCTTGCTGTAGAGCTCAAAGCTTAAACCAGATCTCCGTTTTAATAGTGTTTAATAATGAGCCGATCCTTTAAAGGCTTCTTCAGAATAATTACATGGAAAACATGACACCAGTGATGATTGAAGTTATCCAGACAGAGCGACAGGAGGGTAATGGACCAGTTTAATAAGCTGAGGTTTGTGGCTGCTCTCGCTGATGCACGGGCTGAAGAAGGGGAACACTCTGCCCCTCGGCCCGCTGCCGAACGTGTACAGCAGACTCATTTCGTCCGCGTCGTAGAACGACACCCTCCTCTCGTCGCAGTCCAAGTAAACCCCGATCCTCTGCGGGGGCGACCCGAGCTGCAGCCTCGTCCACGGCTGCGTCCCGGCCCAGTACTTGTTGCCGTTGCGCAGCCGCAGGGTCCAGTAGCCGCTCTCGGGGCTCAGCTTGACGCGAGCGTGCCTGTCCACGGTCTCCGAGGCCACGCCCAGGTCCCACTTAGGGCTGCAGCCCACCTCCACCTCCCAGTAGTGCCGACCTGACTGGAAGCTCTGGGCAGCCAGGATGTTGACACACTGGAGGAAGCGCTTGCTGTGGCTCGTATGCGGGGTCATGACCTCGCACTCCACCGCTGTCATTTTGTCCCTGGAGACGTAAATGCTCGGGTGAGCTGTGTCGATATCAAACGTTAAAGGAGACGGCCCTTAGGAAGGAAAACAAATTAAACATAAGCAGCATACATTTATTAAAGTTTCAAGTCGACACTAAACTGAATGCAATCAGAGCGCGCCCAGTCATTTCTCCAGAATTACTCCCAGTGTTGTGGCAGAACCAGTTTTCAGCTCACGTCTAATGCAGCGCAGCAGAAAGGGAAATCACCTGGTTTCAGAGACCTGAACATCCTCCTCCACGCCGTGTACTGCAGCGGAGCCAAGTAGTTGTTGCTGAAAGCGCGCGGATCAAAATCTACAGCAGCTTCCACCTGAACACAGGGTCTGGAGACGACATGCGTTTCGTTAGACACAGGACACCCCCAAACAAACACTAACGAGACAAAGAAGTAAAAATATTAAAACCATCTGGTAAAATTAAATGTGGGGGAACTCTGCGGCGACAACTCACCTCAGCTGTGGGAACTGTGGGTGAGAACAAAATAAAAATAAAAATTCCTTTTAACTTCATGTTTCAGATTATCAGAATATATTTTACATGAAATGAAACAGACTTATTTAAGATATGCACTGCTGAAAATAAAAACATTTCTATTTAAAACCCATATCGCCCCAGAGTTTTAAACAAAGATCGTTTTGCTACGAGAAACGAGTCGTACCTGTTTGGGTCACACCTTCTTGCATTATGCACCGACAGGAGGGTGCACTTGTGGTTGCAGAGGGCCACGATCCTGCATGTTCTAGATGTTTCTCTGCTCCAACACGCCTGATTTAAAGCCACGGGTGATTAACAGGCAGAACATGAAGCGGTAATTCAACCATTAAATCAGGTGTTGGAGCAGGGAGTAAAACATGCAGGAGAGAACCCTCGAGGACCAGGGCTGGACACCCCCTGCACAACATCAAGCAATATTACGAGCTCAAACGTGCATTCACTGGATGACTTTCAATATTTCTCCTACCATTATACAAGCAGGACATCCCACCCTGTCAACAGAACCGAGCCCCCCCCCCCTTTATTTTTATCATGATTGTTTAAATTCTTAAATGATCGTCTGTGTTATTTCTGACTTGTGTAACTCTTACGACTTGTTGCAGACGTTTTGCCCAGGTCCCCCTCGTGAATGAGATCTTAATCTGAAAGGGTTTTTAATCTGGTTTAAAAAAAAAAAAAAAAGGAAGTGTCCCAATTTATGTTGAGAATAACTCTCAGCTACCACACCTACTTTAAGCTAAAGATCTACAAAACTTAGACATTTCAGTGTTTTCAAGGTCACTTGGCTGTGGCGGCCATCTTGAACGGAGTTGACTCCCACAGGAGATCTGTTGTACGTCTAATGAATATTAATGAGTTTCATCAAAATTTATTCAGCGGTCCATGAAATATTTTACAGACAAACTGTGTTGGCACCAAAGTTTTTTTGGGGCGATGCAGATAGTCTGATATGGATTTTAATGAGCATAATATTTATAATTCTGTTTTTTTATCAAGTGAGCATGATAGTAAACCATATATCTTTTTTTTTTATCCAAATTGTGATGTGTTTACAACATTTTTTACTTTTCTCTTATATTTGATGGCTAAATTGTTACAAACCACTAGAACAGAAGATCTTTTTTTGCACTTCTTGATATTGTGACCGCAGCACGGTGGCGCAACTGGTAGAGCTGCTGCCTCTCAGCGAGCAGGTCCCTGGTTCAAATCCCGGTCCAGGGGCCTTTCTGGGTGGAGTTTGCATGTTTTCTCCGTGCATGCGTGGGTTTTCTCCGGGTGCTCCGGTTTCCTCCCACAGACCAAAAACATGCATGTTAGGCTGATTGGTAACTCTAAATTGTCCCTAGGTGTGAGTGAGAGAGTGAATGGTTGTTTGTCTCGTTTGTCTCTATGTGGCCCTGTGATGGACTTGCGACCCGTCCAGGGTGTACCCCGCCCCTCGCACAGTGATTGCTGGACATGGGCACCGGCGACCCCCGTGACCCAAAATGGAATAAACGGGTAAAGAAAATGGATGGATGGATGGATATTGTGACCTGTAAAGCCTAGTCAAAATAAATACATTTTTCTGGACACACTGGCAAAAACCTTATCGTACTCTGGTCAAATTAAAAGGTCAATAATAATTTAATTTTAAAAAGCCTCCACTGGCTAGACGAACTAACCTTCCCTCTCTACCAGATTAGCTGCCATCATTATCATTTATTTACTTTTTATTAATTCATTATACGCATATTTCTGGTCTTGTATTTTCTGAAGTTTCCATCTTTTCTCTCTTTTTTTTTTTCACCATATATGTACATGACTAATTTAATGGAATAGTGACTTGTCTTATTTGAGATCGGTGGTTACTTTACCTGTTTTTCTTCTAGATGCTACGTTGACCTGAGTGGAGGCTGCTTGTCTGTTTTTATTTTATTTTTTGAGTTCATACCTTTATGTTTTAAAGGAAGTTGTACAGTTTGTTTTACAGTACAATACAAGTATGGTGCTATGATTGTACAATGTGTTAAAAACCAAACAAAGTTTGAAAAAATAAAAAGCCTCCACCTCCGTCAGTGTGACTTTCGCCTGCTGCAGCAGTTGGATGTTGTTCTCCAGTTGGCGTACAGCCAGCTCTGAGGCCTCCAAGTGGCGCTGCACCTTCTCCAGCTCCTCCTCCTGCTCTCTCCGCAGCTGCTCCAGCAGGCAGGTCTCCTCATCCTGCAGGATCTGATGCAGAGCTCGGAATTCACCTTTGACATGAGCCTGCAGGTCTGCCCCCAGCCTCTGACAGGGAGTAGGGACTGATGTTACGTAAAGAAGTGAGCAGTAGAACTGTTTTAATAACCTAAAATAAGTTGTTTACAACCATTAATCGGACTCAGAGACATGTGACATGTCATGCGTTTATGCCCCCCGGCGTCCGATCATCATTAAAAATCAAAGCTCAAACTGTTAACACACATGTAAACACCACTGATCAAGCAGAAGGGCATTTATTTTGCTTCCATCTGTTAAGTGCAGCTGTGCGTTTGGATTCCCAGATGGGTGTACCTTTATCATGTTCAGCTTGTCTTTGTCTTTGTGAATGCTGCCGCTCATGTCCTCCTTCCTCAAGTGCTGCCTCTCCAAACTCTCTCTCAGCTGTTTCTGTGAAGCAGCATGCAATTAAAATCAGAAACATCGCATGGAGAGGATGTGCAGTTGATCAAGGACATCATCATTAGTTGTAAAACTGGGTACAACAGGTCAACCGTAACAACAACTACCTTTGAACAGTTGATTCAGATCCTTTTCACTTCTGAAAATTAAAGTTTATTTGAAATTTATGGCATATAAATAATGGATAGGCTTTACATTTTTAATCATACGTGTACTGTAAATGCCCTGAGAGTATTCTGTGGAACCCTGAGAGGAGTTTGAGTGTGCACGTGTCTGTCGTTTCTAATTAAAAAGATGGCTTTGTCTGAATAATAAAACTAAAATAACCAACTCTAAAACTAATAGTAGACTAAAGAAAAGTTGAATTATTTAGACAGTTCTTAGTTCACATAGGATCAGTGTTAAAAGTGTTAAAAGGTGCAGTTGGTAGAGCCGTTGCCTCTCAGTGAGAAGGTCACCGGATCGAATCCTGTAGCAGCGGCAGGACATTCCTGAGTAACAACACTTCCAAGAAACAGTTCTGCTATTTCTTGACAGACTTCTGCTTTAAACTTTTTCAGATTCAAATGCATTAAACGAACAAAGTTTAACAACATAAGGATCGGCTTTTTCAAACTGCATGTCTTTCAGTAAAGCAGAGCTTTGTAAACTTAAGACACATGTTCTTGTCAGTACATGGGATGAAAAAAAATATAGGTTGATTCCATAAAATATCAATTAACCAACTCCCTGCTGCATTTTAGAAAACAAAACTTTTGTTTTAGTCTAAGATTTTTAGATGCACTGAAGCATCTTGGTGGATGTATATCCTTGTGTTGATCCATACAGATCCTCCTGTTGAGGCAGAGTTAGACATGCTGCCTTCACAGTTGTGAAATGGAGTGGAAAATTAACTTTGGCTTGAGCGAGTCCAGCAAGATATGTCAAGGGTGGAGCTGTAGTGACAAAAAGGACAGATGTGGACTGACATGGAACACAGCTGTAGTGAACTCTGACACCTCAAATATAAATAAAAAGCTGCTCATCCGTAATTGATTAGTTTGCTTAAGAGCTCAGAGTTGTTTGTCTATAATCCTTTCCGGATTAATTAATAGCCAAAAGGATGACGTTAAGACACACAATGTGAAAGCAAACTCGCAAACGGTGAGTGAACTCACCTCTAGCTTCTTGGTGTAAGTGTCTGAGGCGAAGGCTCGGACCTTCTCCACCATCGCCGCCACAAGGTAGTTGGTTTGAAACTGCGTGGGGCTGAACTCCTTGCGGCACTGTGGGCAGGTTACAGGCGCCCGTGTGCCCCTGCAGTACCTGGAGATGCAGGACTTGCAGAAGTGGTGCATGCAGGGCAACATGACGGGCTCTCTGAACAGGTCGCAGCAGATGGAACAGGTCAGGTCCTCCCTCAGGCTGCTTTTGGTGGAGGAAGAAGAAGAAGCGGCAGCAGCAGCCATATTCTCTCTCCGAGATCTCTTCACAACGAGGAAGTGAAAGCAGAGATCTGCTTATCCAGATAGATCAGCTGAAAATCCAGACAAGAATAAAGCATTAACATTTATGACCGCAATTAGCAAATGCAACATAACGTGTTACTTCTGCGCGAGCATATATGCAGCTGGCACTTTTAAGTGTAAAGCCGAGCCGTTTCAAGTGGTTAATAAGGTTGACCCGCAGAGGAAATCAGGCGAGAAATCACGAGACTCTTTAGCTAACTTGTGTTTTGTTTTGTTAGCGCTGCACCTTGTTAGCATTAAGATCAGCCCAGACGGACGAAAACGGATTAAATTCACACCAAACAAAGGTTAAATCCTCGGTGGTGACCAATATCGATATTTAAGTAATACTTTAATGAACTTACGTTGATGTTTTTCGGGAGAAATGTCAGCTTAAGCACTTCTGAGTCTCCTTTCTGCCTGCTACGACTACTTCTACGCTTGACGTTCTTGTGATCTGCGCATGCGCGTGTTATAGGCCCTCGTATGATTGGTCCGTTTGAATCCCTGCAAACAGCGGTCTCGTGACATCATTTCCACCTGTTTTCATTTTGTAAAACTTTATTTGCCACTTAATTTGGAAATCAGTAGGATCCAAAACAAATTAAATGAATGAAAGCACTATTCTAGAATTTACAAAAGACACGTATATGAGCACAAACTTTATAAAATAAAATAAATCAAAATGAGTGGACGTTTCTCTTTATTATATAAAGTTGGAATTTAACGTGTTTGATATCTAAATGCTTCAAAACCCCAAAGTTTATATCCATGCCAATATCTGAACCTTTGCATTTCGTATTCTAGCTTAGACTACAAGAGGACAAATTGACCTCATTCCTTAAATGATTTGTTCAAACTGAATTGTTTAAATTGATACTATTCTATCTTAATGTGATTCTTGACCTGCCATTGTGTATCTGTTCCTCTCAAACCCAGCCGGTCAAAGCAGTGACCGCTTGTCCTGAGCCTGGTTCTGCTAAAGGTTTCTTCCTCATGAGGGAGTTTTTTCTTTCCACTGTCGCCTTCATGCTTGCTCAAGATGAGAGTTCTGTGATGGAGTTAAATTCAAAGCAGTCTGCTCCTCAGATAAATAGTGTTCAATTATTATTTTTATATATGAATAGTTCTGTTCAGTGCCCTGACGACTTCTATTGTGACCTGGCGCTATATAAATAAACTGAATTGAATTCTAAAAAAAAATTATAAATATTAACTAAAAGGGGAAAAAGTAAAAGCAAAACATTGTATTACAAAAGATTTGAAAAATTACTTCCAATTTAAAAAGATTATTGTTGATGGGGTCTGTTTTTATTTACCATTTGCCAGCAGTAGTTGATTCAAGTATAAAAATCATATTTTATAACTTATGTATTTATTTATTATTACTTACACAGAATGATGAATTTAAAGGCCTGACTCGGGTCGCTTTCATCACATCTGTATTAAAATGTGCTTTGATGTTTTACTGTAATTCTGTTGAAGGAATAATAAAGAGCTTGTGAAATAAGTCCTGCTCTCTGGTGTCTTCATAAAGTTGGACTCTGAAAAGTTGGACCTTTTGATGTTTTTTATATAGAAAGAAAGTGAGTCTGTGAGGATGAGCTATCCTGACTTTTACACACATGCATGTGCAGCGTCATGACCTTTGTTAAGGTTGAAAAGTTTCCCTCCTAAAACTCAGATTCAGGATGGAATTATGGTCTGGGCTCTTACAACAGCTGCTATAAAACGTTAATTTTGTTCTCTATTAGTCATTTCTTGGTATCGGCTGTTGATTTTTGATCATTGGAGGATCTGAGGTTGATTTCCTGCAGACTGTGTGATCATTTCATTCTAACTCTCAACACAATCATTTCTTCTCAATCACTTCCTGTTTGGCTGAAAAGACAAAAAAAAAAAAAAAAATCATGATTTGTTCCACATGTGGGGCTTGTATTTTGTTTCTGGACAAATTTAACAACATCATTATAAACTCATCTCCAAGCTGTATATGGGCTTTTTATAAAAGCTGCAGCTTTGTTTTTCTGTCGTGTTTGCTCAAACCTTTACCTGACTCAGCTGGATGACTTTGACCGTGATCTTTAAACAACACTTAGAAAAGAGGGCTCCATTAATATTCTGAGAGAATAAAGGACAGCCATTGAGCAGAATCAGATCTCGGACATAAATGAGTTTCAGAATCGAACAAGCTGTTCATCATTTACACAAAAAGTGAAAATCACAAGTTTGTTATGGCATGAGTCAAGTTAAACTTGTTAAATCTTACATTAATGTAAAAAGAAACTGTGTTACTTGCAGGTCAAAACAAGTTTAAATTCCAGTCAAAGAAAAAGAACACTTCTAATATTATGGTGGCTTTTATTTGTTTCCCTTTAGCTGATGATATAAGCTAAAAGGTCCTTGAAGAACCTGTGGCAGCCATCTTGAATTGGGTTGATTCCAAAACACCATCACTTTTATGTGTACATACAATTAGGGGTGTCCCAGATTAAAAGTACAAGTACTTTAATTTGGGTACTTAACATTAACATCAAGTCAACATTACACAACAACATTAGAAACATTAATTTTATTAAAAACGACAGTCCTCTGCCTTATCATCACCTCTGTTTATCTTAAAATATCTCTGAACTTGGGACATTTTTTACATTTTCTGTCCTCGATGTGTAGATGGAAATGACATCAAGCATTAAAGTGGTATCGGTTTTAAGTATAGGTGTGTTTTCGAGTACTTGAGGCTAGTATCAGTCCAGATACTGATACCAGTATTGGTATCGGAATACTACTAGACATTTTATGAGTTTTATGAAAATTTGTTATAGATATTTTGCTAACAGCTAGACAGTAAAACAAACACACGCACATATACAAACATAAGCAGTTATAATCTTGCATGGCAGCATGGTCAAGTGAGGAGAAATTTACTGTATATATGTGAATTTATTTATTTATTTATAGATATTTGTTAATTTAATTTAAACAAATCCATCCATCCATCCATTTTCTTTACCCGTTTATTCCATTTTGGGTCACGGGGGTCGCTGGTGCCCATGTCCAGCAATCACTGTGCGAGGGGCGGGGTACACCCTGGACGGGTCGCAAGTCCATCACAGGGACACATAGAGACAAACGAGACAAACAACCATTCACTCTCTCACTCACACCTAGGGGCAATTTAGAGTTACCAATCAGCCTAACATGCATGTTTTTGGTCTGTGGGAGGAAATCGGAGTACCCGGAGAAAACCCACGCATGCACGGAGAGAACATGCAAACTCCACCCAGAAAGGCCATCGGACCGGGGTTTGAACCAGGGACCTGCTCGCTGAGAGGCAGCAGCTCTACCGGTTGCGCCACCGTGCTGCCCATTTAAACAAATCATTCACATTATTTGAAGCTTGTAAAGAGTTCTGTTATTCAAACCTATATATTTTCCTAAAAACAAGAAACTGACCTCCATCCTGCCAGTGGTCACTGCAGACATGTTAATATGAATGCGACCATTAGTTTAATTGGACAAAGAAAGATGAGGAGGGAGAAAAGAGACAACTAAATTAGTTTTTCTTCTCAAGAGACGCTGACTGAGTCTTGAGGCGTAATCAGGAGAACCTCCCACAAAAACCTTTATCTTAGAAATTCAATTAGCAAACTTCACAGAATGTCAGTCTCTTCATATAGATGTGTTTAATCACTGCTGAGTGAAAGACGTTCATCTGTTTGCATCGCAGCATGTCTGGTTCTAAAGTGAGAACATCAAGAAAAACACAGACAGCTGAAAAACACAGACAGCTGGAAAACACAGACAGCTGAAAAACACAGACAGCTGAAAAACACAGACAGCTAAAGGCAGCTAGAAAAATGTTCCATTTTTATTTTCAAAAAAGCAGCACGAATGCAGAGTACTGAATGAGGGCTAAAATTTGCAGAATAAGACGATACTGAGTTTTTAAAACTAAAAGAAGCAAAATGCTAGCTAAAAAAATAAAAGAAACAGAACTGTAGCTAAAAGCTAAAATAAGCAGAACAATAGCTAAATGCTAGATGCAGAACACTAGCTACAAATTCAAAGAAACAAAATGCTTGCTAAAAATCAAAAGAAACAAAACAGTAGCTCAAAGTAGCAAAAAGCTAGATAAAAGTTAAAAACAAGAATACACTAGCTACAAGTTGCAAAATGTTAACTAAAAATGGAAAATTATAGCTAAAATTAGCAACGGGATAAATAAAATCTAAAGGTAGCACAAGCTACCTACATGTTAAAAGTAGCAGTATGCTAACTAAAATCTAAATGGAGTAAACAACCTAGTCGAATATTGTAAACAACTAGCTAGAAGCTAACAGTTGTAAAACGCTAGCTAGCTAAAACCCAAAAGTAGCAAAACACTAGCTAAAAGCAGTAAAAACTTAGCTCAAAGTAACATAAGGCTAACTAAATTTAGCAAAATGCTGGATAAAATCTAAAAGTAACTAAATGTTAAATTAAAAGCAGCAAAGCACTAGCTAAAAACTAAAAGGAGCAAAAGATGAGCAAAAAGTAGCTAAAGGCTGACTAAATGCTAAAAGTAGAATAGTAGTTAAAAATAGTGTAAGAAAACAAACCAAAACAACAACAACAACAACAAAAACAATTATGCAGAAGCAGACTTTAAAATGAACAAGAGGAAGGAACTGGAGGGATCTTAATGTTTTTCTGTGGAGAAAATATTAGTAAATAAGGTTAAATTTTTTGAAAGATGTAAAAATAAAAATAAAAATCATGGCTCACATCTCCTGAATGAGTTGATTCATTTGGTATGTAACGAGTTAAAGTAGCACACGTTATGCAGAAGCAGTTAGACTGCAATTATCTACAGAAAAAATAACAGGTAAACAAAAGTGTGAATTCAAAATCAGCAATCACACATAAAGAAGAAAATATAAATGTTTTTCTGTCTTTACTTGAACATTCATTAATCCACACTGCCAGAACTTTAAAACACAAACAGAACTGTGTGAGATGTGTGATAGTAAAATAGCCAAACTAAAACCAAATGCTAAGCTACGTATGTCACAGGTGAAAACTTTCTCTGGAATTTGAAATCACTTTGAAGGTGAAATTACAGTCAAGAGTTTCCGGTCAGTGGGAAGCCACCTGAAAAACAAAGCTTCATGAACGCCTGACCTTCATAACATTCTGTGGAAGTCTGCCGTGTCGCCAATGAAGATCCTGAAGACTTCAGAAAGAGTCTACAATCAGGCAGCTCAGGTTGGTTATAAAAATGATTGAAAGGACTAGAAAATGTAAGAGTACCGCCAGCCTCATCAGGAAAGGTCACCCAACATGCATCAGTCCAACAACAGGGTGTTTAGTAGTCTTCAGTAAAGGCCATGCTGGTATGTTCACAAATCCACTGTCATGAGGAGAACACAGAATGTATGTATGTATGTATGTTTTATTTATTCATTTCATTTCG